CAGATACGGCAAATCCACAATGAGAGACTGATAAATAAAAGTTTTTCTGAAAAGATGCTTTTATTTTAAAACACAAAATAATAAATATCTCACATAGTAAAGCTTTTAAATGTGGGTTTTCATATGTTGGTCACAAGCGTAGAAAATAAGCTATATAATTGTGTTGCTATATTTTATTGTTCTGGTAATTATTACAACATGAAGTCGTTCAGTAAATTTGCTGCACTTTCCAGAATGGTTGAAGTTAAGAGTCATAAATGTCATTATTCACATTTTGTACAAATCAATGAAGTATATTCAGTTGTTCAGAGTCATACAAAATTGTACTAAAGCTACAATAATTCACATTTAGTGATTTATATTTGCTATCTTTAACTCTAAGATACTGAAGTAATAATATCTAAATTAGTTTATGAAAAAAAACTTTCAGTGATCTAATGAGGTAAAAACCAAAACATCCAGCTTTATTTTAAATAGAGAATTTAACTCATTTTAACTGAAACAGTAACAATACAAAAATTTAAATTTCACACAGCTAAGTTGTAAGAATTTATTACGTTATTAATTTCATACACACCATGGACTAGTTAAAGATGTCGCACAGAAATGTGGGCCACACGGGTGAGTGAATATTCAGTAGGAGTGCTCATGACGGGCACTGAACAGCGCGACTTTTTCTATTCATTGAGAATTTTTCTTTTAAGTATTTCAATACATTAGTTAGCAGTACAATGCATATCTGAACTTTAAAGTTTTCACAAAGAAAAGAATTACTTTAAATGTATTAGTTTCCTGTTTGTTAATTAAAAACAGAACTCACAAAGTGCTCCTGACTGCTCCACACTTTATAAGCTTTATAAGAATTTAAAATATATAAACTGCAATTTGTTCCCCCCCAATCTAACTTTCCTGTTTATCGATCTGAAAACTTCCCTTTCCAGCATATCTATCATTAAACAGCATGAAAACTTTGTAGAGATCAGGCTTAGTGTCTTCTAGTGCCCACAACATTTTCTATCATTAAACAGCATGAAAACTTTGTAGAGATCAGGCTTAGTGTCTTCTGGTGGACACAACATTTTCTATCATTAAACAGCATGAAAACTTTGTAGAGATCAGGCTTAGTGTCTTCTAGTGCCCACAACATTTTCTATCATTA